AGCCACTTGTTTTTGTTTAAAAAAAAAAAAAAAAAAGTATTGGAACACAGCCACATCCATTCATTTATGTATCATCTATGGCTCCCCTCGACAACAGCAGAGTTGAGTAATTGCAGCAAAGATCATGTTCACAAACCTAAAATCACTACAACCTGGCCCTTAAGAAAAGATTCGCAAACCCCTGATTTAGACCACAATGCCATTTTAATGCCCTTTCTTAGGCTATTCCATGGCAAAATGATATAGCTTACATACATTTAAGTAACTATCTATGAGAATATGTTCTTAAATGACTATAGGTCTAGAGAATAGATTCCATACACATAAAGATCAGGGTGACCAGGGGTTTTACCTAGAGTTACAACTTCCTGTGAATGGACTCTTACAGCACATATTCTTTGTGTGTCTGACCTATAGACCTTTGTCTCTAGCCTACTAATCTTTTCCTTTTTTAGCAGCTTATTGACGTATAACTGATACACACTAAACTCTACATGTTTAACCTTTTTAAGTTAACATTTATTGAACAATTACTACGTGCCAGGCACAACACTATATACTTTATAGTGTCTTGATTAATCTTCATAAAAATCACATGTGCATGGCACAATGGAATACTACTCAGAAAGAAAAAAATCACTGACATATGCAACATGAATGAATCTCAAAAACATTGTGTTGAGGAAAAGAAGTCAGACACACACATAAAGAATATATACTGTAAAAGTCCATTCACAAAAAGTTGTAACTCCAGGTATAAACCCCTGGTCACCCTGCCTGGCCAAGACTTACTGTAACAGTATGAAAGTTTGAAATGGTTTCAGATTCCACACTACAACTAACCATGTGTTAAGTTTTGGTGTAATAATAATATAAAGTATTAAAAAATATCCACAATTAACAAACAAGGCTTCTCGGCCGGGCGCAGTGGCTCACGCCTGTAATCCTAGCACTCTGGGAGGCTGAGGCGGGAGGATTGCTTGAGCTCAGGAGTTTGAGACCAGCCTGAGCAAGAGCAAGATCCTGTCTCTACCAAAAATAGAAAGAAATTAGCCGGACAACTATAAACAAAAAAAATTTGCCAGGCATGGTGGCGCATGCTTGTAGTCCTAGCTACTCGGGAGACTAAGGCAGGAGGATCATTTGAGCCCAGGAGTTTGAGGTTGCTGTGAGCTAGGCTGACACGACTGCACTCTAGCCCAGGCAATAGAGTGAGACTCTGTCTCAAAAAAAAAAAAAAACAAGACGTCTCCCTGTTTTTTCAACAATATATAATT